TGCTGTAGACAAATCTGACATCACTCAGATAAAACTTTATTACTTTAAAACTTTACTTTAATAAGAAATAACCATGTTACTCTAGGCTCTTTCACACAAGTGTAGGCCTATTCAGTAAATTCACTAATTACATTCCGTCAAAGGTCAAAAGTCTTACTTGTCTTTATGTTTCTCCACAGAACGGTTTTCATCCTGGGCCAAAGCTCTCCTGGTTCTCCTGGTTCTTCTTGTGGTTTCTGGAGGTCTTTTATTTCATTTCCGGCACCATTTTAAGTCAGGTTAGTCTTTCCTACAACACCTACCCATAACCCTTTTGGCCAAACCAAAAGGGTGAGTGATCGGAGGCTGTGATCACCACACACTTACTGTATGGTCCCAGAAGTGCAATGAGTCCAAGGCTTAACTGAAAAAAATGGGCGCATCAAAGTGTTAGATGTTGTTTTATGCAATAGTCAATTAAAAGCTTGAGCTCTTGAACAATCCTCCTGGAGAGGGGCTAATCTTTGTCTCAGTCTGGAGTTGCCCTTGGTGAGAGGTGGCAGGCTGAGGTGGGTAACTTAGCATTCCCTCAGCTTGCTGCCTGTATGTTGGAGTTTTTCCCAGTGGATGAGAGAGTTTTCTTTTTCTCTGCGCCTTTGGGTCAGGGATTGGGACCTGACTGTCGTCTGCACTTATGTGCCAAATGACAGATCAGAGTACCCGGCCTTCTTAGAGTCTTTAATTGTATGTAAATTATGTCAATTTGTTAATTTATTGTGTTATGTATGTTATTTCTTTCTTTCGCCTTTAAGTGACAAAAAAGGAGGTTAAGAAAACGTGCAAAGAAGCTAAGAGAAGCCGTAAGATAAATAAGTCATAAGGAAGATTAAATAAGTTGTTTCATAGTGAAAGGGAGCTGCAAAGAAGATAAAGAAGAAGTTGGGAATTGTTTTTCGTTAAGTTTTTGTTTCTAAAGCAGACTCTTCTCACAGTCATGTGCAGCCAGCGTGGTACATTTAACTGTGTTCTGTTTATTGCACATTTGTTAACTTTATTTTAAATTTTTGTTTGTTGTATTTATGTTTGATCATTCTGCGCATTTATGTAATGACAGTTTGACGGTGGATTTTATAGTGAATTGATGGAGAAGTGTGACGGAAGAATAAATCCATCTGTAAACGAAGAACCGTGGTTTCATGTATTACCTGAGTCAGACTTGGTTCACCTAAACATATAGTGAATGTCCACAGGGAATGCCTGGCAGAGGCCGCAGTCAACAAGATCTTCAACTCTCACCTTCAAGAGCACTCCAAGGGAGACTGGGGACATTAAGTCCAAATGGACTGGATGTTCAGCACCTGCATTGCTGAAGCTGTTGCACTGACCTGCAGCCACAAGGTAGCTGGTGCCTATCATGGTGGCAACCCCAAAACCAGATGGTGGACACCAGAAGTGAAGGGAACCATCAGGCTGAAGGAGTGCTATCAGGCTTGGTCAGCCTGTTGGACTGGGATCAGCCTATAGGTATTGACAGGCCAAGCAGAACAGTGATCAGGCAGGGGCTGAAGCAAAAACTTGGGTTTGGGAAGAGTTCGGAGAGGCCATGGAAAAAGACTGGAGGGTGTGGTCACACTCTTCAGCCTTCCTCGGAAAGTCTATGCCAGGGTGCTGAAAAGGAGAATCCGTCCATTAGTCCAACAAAACAATGGTCCTCAGCTGGAAAAGGGTGGAGTGCCCACGGCACTATTCAGAGAAAGTGGAGAAATTAGCTTTCTCTGAATGGTGGCTGGTCTCTACCTTAGAGAGAGGGTGAGGAGTAGAGCCACTACTACTCCACATTGAAAGGAGGCAGTTGAGTTCCTGGGGGAGACCCATGGCATGCCAGAGAAATTATATCTTTTGGCTGGGCAGTAATATTTAGTGACATCACTAAACATTAACTTAGGCTGTCTTAAAGAGACACCACACATTTGTTATTGTTACACTGAGGAGAGGGAGGCATAGGCTTCTCTGCTTTGCCTGCTGACACCACAACCTGGCCCTGAATAAGCAGAAGAA